AAAGTCATCAAACTTTTTCAGCGATTCTTGTCAGATTGTACTGCTTTTTCTTTCTATACATGCAGTTTTTATGTCCCGGTGACCAGTGAAACTGCAGTTCTGACTCTCTGCCCATTCATTTAGATAGGAGCCTGGTCTTATTAGTCCAAAATAGCTGCCCGGAGGTGTTGCCAAGATGGCGGCAGAGTGGTATGACTTGCCTAAAAGGACTTTGAGTGTACTTGGCGCGTCAGCACACACAACGGCTGCATCTACAGTGTGGTCTCCCCAGTGGACCAGCACGACAACCGTCTGGATTGAGCCGAGTAGGGGACATCTCTAGGGTCTTCAAGTGGGCATCTTCCATCCTCAGTGTTTCGTCGACTAGCCCACAACACCTCAAGAGGGCTCGACAGTGACTCCCAGAGTCACCCCACTCCATCCCCCACTCAACTCAGCCCAGCTTACTGACCTTTACATCACTGTTGAGGTTGCTCCATCCTCGTATAGTTCACATGTGACCTAACCACAATCTCTCCCAACCCAACCATACGCGCCAACCCGTTTGACTAAGGCTGTCTTCGTTAATGCAGGTTCAGTGGCAACGGTTTCCATATGGCATACTACTCACCGCAAAACCCAATATCTGCCCAAACACTAACCCTCATTCACGCAATATACACAGGAATGTAATAACTGTAATTACTATGCAAACTATACAAATAAACCAAAAGACTCTTTGAGTTTTTCAAGACTTCTATGAAACCATAGCGTAGCCTGTACACAGCCAGCCAGAATCTTTCCGTCTCAACCACAGCCAGTTGCTGCTCCTCTCTGCTGCTTCAGATAAGTTCTTTACTGTGCGACGCAACTCTTGGCCACTGAATCAACGTCTCTGAGGAACCGGGTTGTAGACTGTGCCACAAATACATGACAACCCACTTCCACTGGATAAACTTGGACTCTCTATCCTCTCTGTTCTGCTTCAGTGGCCAGATGAGCAGACAGTTTCTTCCTCTCATATGCTTTAACTACCGCATTCTTCCATGGCACAGTTGAACAATGCCTGCTGATCCAGACCACAAATGTATTTTAATAATATTGTTTTATGAATTATCTATAAATATCTCATCATATGAGGTATTTCCAGAAATATTAAATTATATTAACAATTATTAAAATAGCTTGTTTAATATTTATTTAAACATATTTAAATGACTGAGATATTTCTCTAAACTAATTTTTAAAAACAATTAAGAATAAAAATTCTATTTGAAAATAAATTTAATAAAATATAGAAGTGCTGTTTGTGATGTGAATTTATTAAATATAATGAAATCAGTACGAATGTGCTCATTGTACATTTGAACTTATTTTATTGTATTTACGTTTTCATTTATAATTTATTTTAATATGCTTTTTTTCCTCATCTGAATAGAGATATTTCTCTAAACTAATGAAAAAATATATATTATTTTAAAATAAAAATAACCCTAAATTATGTGAATTTATTCAACATAATGAAATAAGTACAAAGGTCTTTACTTATTTCATTATATTTAATACATTTTAAATTCCTCTATATATACTGAATCATGAGAATAATTATGTCATTCTTTTATAGAGCTATTTAAAAAGAATATGGTGCTTTTATTTAAATTCAGCTTTGATGGTTGTATTAATTATTTTCACAATGAATGAAGTTCTTCAGCTGTTCAGCAGACATTAGTCTGCGAAATATAGAGACTTAAATAATTAGAATTATTATTAATCTTATTATAAAGTTATTTGACATAAACGATCAGGTATAAATGGTCTAAATTGGGTATTTATGTAACGTTTTAAAAACATGTTAAAAAAATTGCGGGTGTGGCCACATGTTTATGTATTTATATAAACACGCTCTGTGGGCGTGGTCAATTCAATTCAACCCTAACCATCTAGAAATGAACTTGATGTATTTTGAGAGAAGTGCACTGCAGTTTCAGGCCTTTCGGCATCATGTCAGCTTCACTTTCAGGCACGGCTTACTTTAATAAAAGCCAATTAAAGGGGGGGTTGACTGCTTTTTTTCTTTGCATGATTGGTTTTATGGGGTGCAATATAACATGTATTCGTGTTTTTTCTTTTTTTAAAAGTCTTATTTTTCATACACTTCAACTTTATTGTAAGCCGCGATCTCCTTTGTCCTTGAACGAGCGGTTCACTTCCTGATTGTATGAAAACACTCCCTCAGAAACAGGCAATGGGCTCAGATTGGTTAGTTTAGGCCGGTGTGTTGTGATTGGCTAAACTGTCGCTCACGTTGTCCGGAAGGTTAACGCCCATTACCTTTACGGGCGAAACGAACATGTCATGAGCTCCGGTCCAGATGTAAATATGTGTCTAACTGCAGTATCAGTTTGAGGCAGAATCAGACCGAGAAAGCCGTGATGAAGAGAGTACACAGAACCACACCACACACGGCTCTTACTAAACGTTTCTGAATCATAATTTGCTACATTTTTTTTTACTTTATACACGTTTGTTTAACACAATAGCAACTGACTGGCTACTAATGTTAAACACAAACAGCGTTGACATTAGTTTACGTTCTTGATCAAATCGAAAATAACGTCATGAAGCATATATACATGAAAAATACGTTTAAAACATTAGTACTTATACAAAATTCAGGTCCATAATGTTTGTACGCGTTTGTCGACACAAAATAGCATAGTAGCCTAGTGGCAATGAAGCCAGAGCTGGAATTTGAAAAAAAATAAAACACAAGGCTACGTCTGGAATTATACATGTAAATACATTTAAAATGATGAAGTCTTAGCCTACTTACAGGTTGTGGCCCAACAACTGCTGCCTCTGGTTTTAAAGTTGGAACTGCTTCATGTTTTAGTGACAGTTTCTTGTTGAATCCGGTGTTGAATTCGTGGAGATTCTGGAAGCTGTCTTCCGTTAAATGCGCAGCACAGAGAGCTACATTACGATCGCCATTTTCAGGAACATAATCAAACATAAATTGTATCCATTATTGTTGAAGTACAGCGTCCGTGGGAAGCCTGAACACAGAAGACCTGACAGCTGGGTGAACACAACACACTCGACGAGCCAGAAATATGTGCATGCCCTTTTTTGCATATTCCGGAGGGAGGGGTTGATGCAAACGTATGGGTTAGTGACGTCTAAAACCCAGCTGTAGTCCCAATCAAGTCGTTTTTGTTGGCAATATACTTCCTGATTTTTAAAAGACGATATCTCTGCTTACACTAAACTTTGCAGATACTGTTCATGCACCAACAGCAACATTACACACTATTTAAAATAAAAAAAGTGAAATCGCAGTCAACCCCCCCCCCCTTTAAGTTCAATAATCAGGTCTGGCTGTTTTAGCAAAATCAAGAAGCTTCAGAGCATCCCTGAAACCCTGTAATACCTCTAAAGTAATAGACTTACAGAAATCCAGTGGCCTGAAGAGGTTCCTGCGGTGTCAGTGGCGCTGATTTACTCCGGTCCTCCGAGGGGAAACACTGACGTCAATCGTCCCGTGAAGAGCACTCAATTCAATCGGTTTTAAACAGAGAACAGGTTCAGAAAGAGTCGTTTTAACTTCAGACACCTTTCTAGTCATTAGCAGAGGTATAACCTACTTTACAATGACACTTTTAGACGTGTCTACATTGCAAAAGCCTGACACACCTTTATTTGGAAGCCCGTTTCTATTTTTGCACAGCTCATGCTATTTTACTTTCCCCTTTTCATTGTTTAAAGGTGCCATCTACCATAATAAATCAAATCCTACTCCATATTCCATAACAGATGGGGGCAGTATACCTCCAAAAAATGACTTGTGCTCCTACCATCGCGCATGTTATTCAAATCATTTGACATGATAGTAAAAGGTTGGAAGACCGCAGTTTCACGTGGAACATTTGGAGATTTTTAGAGATCAGAGACTCAATGAACTAAACACTAGAGTGAACTAAACTAAACACTATGAATCTCAACACTAAATGATGAAGACCGCCTCATAGATCTCAAAAACAAGCTGGTGCATTTCGACGGTATGGGAAAATAAAAGCTTGGGCAATTATTTGAAGTTTATGGTATTCGTTTTGTTCATATTACACTTTTATTGTTAGTGAATTAATTTGACAGACAGCATTCGCTGATGTTGATCAAGCTAGCGCCGTGAATTCACCGTGAGACACACGCAATTGACACTTAGCAAGCAGGTTAGTTAAGCTCTCAGATTCTGTCAATTATATTACGCAATTCAAAGAATAAATACCGTTTTGGCGCTTGTACATGTTACACTACAGATCCCTAGCGCACGTGAACCGATCGTCTCTACTAGCTGGAAAAAGAACATGAACTCTGTTGAAAGATACAGTATGCTACAACTTACCAAAATGTATTCCTCATGCATAATGTCGACCAATCATTTTTTGAACTCTTCCCTGAACTGAAATGTAGTAGTGGGCTGTATTTCCACACGACTGACATCAGGTTCAAGTACACACACACACACACACACACAAGCCGGCGCGAGCGCGACTCACTCGCGTATTGCAGTTTGGCTGGTGCTAACGTTGCCCGTCCGCATACCGCCTCCCATGGCCGGAACTGGTATTACGATACCTGCCGGGCCGGGGCTAGTAATTTAGCATGCTAATTCAGGTTAATATCTCGGCAGCACTATAACTTGTCAGTTTTTTAATGACATCTTTGCACTTATTTCTTCTCATTCTTTTGATGCGTGTAGCTCATTTTTCGTATATTGTTACCTCAATTATTACATATGGCACCTTTAATTTTCTGCCTTTGAGCTCACTAAACCATTTTCTCCATTGACTGCCATTCAAAATTACCTGAGTATGCTGATGAAATATTTTTACAACCAACATACAAATCGTAAATATTCCATTGTATTATAGTAGATGTTTTAGAAGTTTTTACTGTAAAATGTGCTTCTTAAGTGATATACTGTATTTAGAAACTATCTCTCTCTCTCTCACTATCACCAGATGGATTTGCTGATTACAACCAAAATCACAGGAATTATCACCCAAGGAGCCAAAGATTTCGGGCACGTGCAGTTTGTTGGTTCCTTTAAATTGGCATTCAGTAATGATGGAGAGAGATGGCTCATATATCAGGATGAGAAACAACAGAAGGATAAGGTAGGACATGCTGTGTTCAACAGAGTATGTGAAACAAACCCACTACGTTTCATTTTTGGTATTTGATGCTATTCGAAATATATTTGATGAGAGTCTTTTTATAAAAATCCCTCAGCTGGTTGTAAGGAGTAGATGGAGCTCAGTGAAGGACATGGCTTTGGCATTAGCCTTGAGGAATTTTGAAGCTTTCAGCATTTTTATGACAATCTCTCACCTCCAGCTGAAGAATCACCTCCACGCTTCCCGTCCGGAACGGCTGCAGCTGACAAGACTTTTTTTTTCAGCTTTTTCAAGCTTTTGTCAGACACAAAACTCCAGCAGGAGTCATTCTATGGAGAAGAGAGAGACAGTTGTTTCTATTTAACGTTCATTAGACAAATATAACTTGACTGATGCCAGTGCTATGTGATTACTACGGTGTTCTGAGTGCCTTGATTGATTATTTTTAAACTAAATATAATATAAATTATTAATTTTTTTTAAATTATGTATATTTTTAGGTATATTCAAAATATAAATAAATTATTGTCTAACAGCCACTGTAGCCACAGATTGTTTAATATAAGAACTAAAAATGGAGTGAATGTCTAGAAATAATCATAGTATGTTTTCCATGGTTTAAATGAGCACAATACCGTTCAAAAGTATGAGATGATTAAATATATACAGTATATAAAATATTTTAATTTCAAATAAATGCTGCTCATTGATAAATAAAGCTGGAACTTTATTCATCAATGAATTCGGACAAAAAAAAATGTATGACTGTTCCCACTCAAATATTAAGCAGCACAACATTGATAATAATAATATGAAATGCTTCTTGAGCTGCAAAAAGCATGGAGAAAAAAAGACTGGAGTAATCCTGAAAATGCAGCTTTGAATCACAGGAATAAATGACATTTTAAATGAATAAACATTTCACAATATTTCTGTTTTTCCAGTGTTTTTGATCAAATAAATGCAGCCATGGTGAGCATAAGAGACTATTTCTATTGAAAAATCTTGCTGACTCTAAACTTTTGAATGGTAGTTTAGGTAAATATTGGTATTTATTACTAAACTATTTTAATAAATTACTTCTGAATGATGATGCAAACGAACCACTAGCACATTTTTAGTACATTATGTATGAATAGTGAATAGGCTACATATTGATAAAATTAAACATTTTAAGTGAACAATCAAGTTTGACTGTTCTTAGTCACAGATCTTTTCTTATCATAACCCTCTTTTTCCCCCCTGAATACACAGAGACAGAGTTTTTGTCCTCTGAATACACACACACACACTGTAAGGTCATGAGTGTCGTGGTTGGGGGTTGTTAGTGGTGTTGGCTGGGTAATCTATTCTGACAGCGCTGATAAGAAACGGTCTACTGGAATAGATTCTCTCCGAGGACTAATCTGTGAACGACGTCCTTTATCGAGTGCTATTAAAAGAGCGCAGGTTAAGGGTGTATGAAAGCCAAACGTTTGATTTATATGGCCTATTTTACCGCCCCATTATTGGGCACTTTTATATGACATCAGAACTTGCTTTCAACTGATTCAGCATTTTTTTTATCATTCTTTGTCCTTCTGTGTCATTGGCAGATCTTCCAAGGAAACTTTGACAATGAAACACACAGAAAGAATGCGATCGATCCGCCGATCTACGCCCGATTCATCCGGATTCTTCCGTGGTCGTGGTACGGACGCATCACTATGAGGGTGGAGCTTCTGGGGTGTCCGGAGGAACAGTGAAAGTTCAGCGCATTCATGAAGGACTGTGTATAAATAACTTTCAACATTTCTAGTGGTGATCTTTCAAGGATGCTAATGAGACTTAACTGGTCTGATTTGAAAATGAAAGATCTTTTGATTACGGTCGATGATGATTGTGATGACTTTGAATGGATTCTTTTTTTTCTCTAAAAAAACAAAATCACAATGCTTTTTAAATGTTACTGTCATCGTACAACTGACTACTTTTATTTCAGAGTATAAACAGCTGAAATAGGTCAATTGAATCCACTCAGGTCAAAGGTCACCTGCTAGAATAGCACTTCGAGTTTATGATTTATGAAAATTAGGAGGTGGTTCTGAGAACTGTTAGTAATGTTCTTATCTAATTTATGTATATTAACTACTGAATGGTGTCATTTACAATTTATTAATATATTCAGTAAAAGCAAAATCGAAGAATAAGTAGGGGAGAGTGGGGTAAACTGTGCCGCTTATTAAGATTTATTTGACAGAAACACAAGACTAGAGGTGATGTCACATTTACCATTGTGTGGTAAATCTATGGAAGCTTAATTTCTACCAGGGATTTAAAAGGTACATGTGGCTATCTCACAAATTTGGACTTTTTTCGCGCAATTGCGAGTTTTAACACAGTTTCTCAATTCTTTATATGCCACTATTCTAACTTTTTTTCTAATGAATAAGATATAAACTTAAAAAAAATGTAAAAAATTGTGAGATAAAAAGTCTCAGTTACCTTTTTTTTTCTGTGTCGGAAACGAGCTTTCGTGCAGTTTTTAAAATAGAAATCCACATATTTAGGAATTTCCGGGAAGTATCGCTACACTATCGACAATTATAGACAATGGACCTTTTTTTCTCATGTAATTTTCTGCTGAAATTGATTGTGACTGTTCCTTAATATTTATCATCATATTTCAGGATGTCGACTGAAATGAGAAGTGTCACAGTGGTTCAGTGACACAACTTGCCCTGTGTTTTAGGGGTAACCTGTGACATATCATAGGGTACTTTGAATAATTGGGAAAATGTGAATATATTTACTAATGCATAATCCCTTTCTAAAGTCTATATGTTGCGGCACATAATTGCATTGTTATACCCAGCCCAAAATAAGGTTTAAATATTCAAAATATTTTTACTGCTTATCACTTTTCGACAAAAATTATGCAGTTTGCTTGAATAAAGGGACGACATATCTTACCCCACTCTTCCTGCATACAGCTACAGGCAGAATTATTTCAACACAATATAGCGTTCAGTATTTCATATATATTCAAAGTCAAGTATCCATGAAATTATAATTAAATTAGTTCCATGGTGGGGAAAAATTTTTTGTACCGTCGAATATCATGTTTCACAATATAGAAGTGAAATGGGTTGCAGGCTGCGTTTCATGTCATCTTGTAGCAAGCAAACTATTATTCCTTTATTTATTTCTTTTGTAGTGTTTTTAAAAATGTGTAAATACAGTACACAGCAAGAGCAAGTTTGTTATATGTATATCTCTACTATCTTTCTATTTCTTCATTGCAGTATTCACTGGACAGTTATTGAACAGACCTGATTATAATGTAATATAGTATTACTGAACTGGTAATGGTCATTTTAAAAATAAAAATCAAACTCTGTTCCTGCACAGCTACAGTTTTATGTCCACTGAGTCTGAATATGTTCCTGGTCTATTCCGTTCTCTTACGAGTTCTCTCATATTGCTTATAAGTTTAGCTTACGTCATGGGTAAAGTCACCTTTTCTCGAGATATTGAAGCCAAAAATGATTCTTAGTTTTGTATTCTTTGTCAACACAGTGCAGCAGCTAGCAGACCTAGAGCAGGCTGTCTAGTGTGCTCATTGCCTGCTCTGCAGCAACTGCAGCAGCCTACCACTGAGCCTGGTGTGACGTTATGCCCAATAATGGCGCCTCGTGCCCACTACACGTCACAACTCGCTCAAGTGGGTGTGGCTTAGCGTATAAAAGCACTGCTCGGAGGTTGCTTCCCTGATTTTCATCTCTTCAGTGAAGCTCTTCGCACCGCTGGATCTAGAGAGAAGCTAAAGAGAAGAGAGAAGCCGCCTTTGAAATCAGCAACAGAGGAAAGCGCTTGAGGAAGCCAGTCGACTTCTCGCCGCCTTCAAGCCTTCTGTGTCAGCAATGCTATCCAGCACAGGCCATCGGTAGATGCACTGCTGTGCTCACCGTCACAGAGAGGCACCTCTTGCTGATGCTCGCAGACATGAGGGAATCTGAGCGTGCCACATTCCTCAATGCGCCGCATGACTGAGTACGTCAACCGTATCGTCAATGGTACTGTAGATCGTTTCTCCGAAGTGTAGAAGACCTCACAGGCTATTAATATATTCCTGCCACGACGCTCAAGCTCAGCTACTGGCCGCTCACATGACAAGCCGCCTGCTCGGAGTTCTCCCCCACGGGGACCTCGGCACTGGATTGGACTGAAGCCCGAGCAAGCGAAGCCCTCCTAACATCGGGGGGAAAAAAAGAAAAAAAAAGGGAAAAAAAGTCCCACCGCGGTCAGACCACCATCAAAACGTCACACCTTGTCAGTCCCCTCACAGAGAGCTACGGCAAGAGAATATTTAGCTGCCAACGAGCCGGGAACATCACCCTCTCGCCTGCACAAAACCGCTATTTTCACGGCGACCCAAAGAAATCTCATAAAGAGTGTAATTTTTGGTTATCCGGCTCACGCCGTTGGTGTTTCAAATGTAGAGAATGTGCCCACGCCCCAGTGTTCACCCTTACACTCAAGCACTATAACACTATAATGGGTCCCTCACGCCCACAGAGCCCTCTCTCATAAAGCTGGCATATGCCGCTCGAGTGTTAGATGTAGAAATCGCGCCCATGAAGCTCTCAGAAAACGCCCCCCTGTTCAAGGTAGCCGGGGCGTTATGTATGAAACAGCGTGCCATTGCTATCAGCGAGCCGCCGTATTTGAGCACTCATACCGGTTAGGCTGCGAATGTATGTCGCGTGCATGGCGAGTGCTCGCACTTACTGTCAATCGCTCTGCCTCAAACGCCGCTCGCGCTTCAAAAAGCTATCGTAAAACGCTTCCTATTCAGTGTAATCGGGTCGCTACATATGAATCAGCCGAAGGCGGCTGACATCTCCCACAGTGTGCGCCAATCGGGAAGCGGAGACCATTCTCCCCTTGGCCACACATGCAAAAGCATGGGAAGCGATTCCGGGGGTTTCAAAGTGGGTGATGAGCACGATAAGACATGGCTATGCCCTACAGTTCGCTTGCAGTCCCCCGCGTTTATTCACACGGACCGAGTCAATAGCCAGAAATAGCCAAACTGCTGTGCAGAGGGGCCAAAGAACTGGTACCGTCTTCTCTGAGCAAGTCAGGCTTTTACAGCCGTTATTTTATCGTGCCCAAGAAGGACAGAGATCTGAGACCTATCTTAGATATGAGATTTTTAAACAAGGCTCTAATGAGAATGTTTATATCTTTCGATCTGAAAGACTCTTATTTTCAGATTCAGATTCTACCCCATCAGGGGAAGTCAGGGTGTGCGAATCCTGAACCAACTGGACGATTGGCTGATTTTAGCACAGTCGGATTTAGAACTCGTATCTCACAGAACTTTGCTCCTCAGTCATTTGGAAAGCTTGAGTCTCATGGTCAACTGGACCAAGAGCTCACTACTGCCCAGCTAGTCAATTTCCTTTCTAGGAATGGCACTGGACTCTGTGGCTATGAAGGCTCTTCTGTCGACAGAGTGCGCACGCCATGTTCGACACCAAGCCGTATCTTTCCAGAAGGGGAACACCGCCTCCCTGAAAACTTTTCAGAGGATGATGGGCTGTATGGCCTCAGCTGCAGCAGTGTTTCAGCTGGGTTTACTGTGCATGCGCCCGTTACAATGCTAGTTGAACGCCCGCATACCTCACCAAGGATGGACGCGCGGCTACAAGTAGTCGGAGTGTCTCAGAGCTGCATTTCAGCTCTGCAGCCCTGGTTAGCGGCCGATTGGTACCAGCAGGGGGTGACTATGTGAGCGATTTCGCACCTAAAGGTCATCTCGACAGACGCCTCCAACTCCGGTTGGGGCGGCCATTTCGAGGGCAGACTGGTCTTTAGCCTGTGGTCAGACCAAGAGAAACGGCTTCACATAAACTTTCTGGAGATGCTGGCGGTCGAGAACGTGCTGAAGTGCTTCCTCTCATTCATACAGGACCAACACATTCTATTTCACTCAGACAATATGTCTGTTGTGTCTTACGTGAACTGTCAGGGCGGTGTCAGATCCAGGAGCTTCTGTGATCTGACGAAACTCCTCCTTGTTTGGGCTCAGCACTTTCTGCACTCGCTGAGAGCGACACATGTGCCAGGGAAACTGAACGACAGCTCGGACAGGCTTTCCAGGGACAATATTACCCCTGGGGAGTGGTCTCTACACCCCCAAACCGTCCAGTTGATATGGCGCCTTTTCGGCAGAGCGGAAGTCGACCTATTTGCGTCAAAGGACAACGCTCATTGCCCAGTATTCTTCTCGAAGGATGAGGACACGCTGGCCCAATTCTGGCCCGGCCGCCCACTGTACGCTTTACCCCCGATCTCAATGTGACCACAGGTAATCAAGAGAATCAGGGAATTGTGCCGCCCGGTGCTCCTTATAGCTCCGCGATGGGAGAACCAAACATGGTTCCCTGACCTAACGCAGCTGTCACGCACAGCCCCGTGGCCGATAACGGTGAGGAGAGACCTCCTCTCTCAAGCTTGCGGCTCGACCTGGCATCGCCACCCGGAGCGCTGGTCTCTGCACGTATGATTAGTCAACAGATACCCATTGTCCTGCCAGAAGGAGTTATGAACACGATCACGCAGTCTAGAGCGCCCTTTATGAGTTGGCTCTATGCGTCTAAATGGTCTGTGTTCTCTAAATGGTGCACCAACAGAAATGTGGACCCGCATACGGGTGAGGTCTCACAGGTACTTGGCTTCCTTCAAGAGCTGTTGGATAAGGGCAGGTCCCCACCCACGCCAAAAGTACACATGGCGGCCGTTGCAGCATTCGTTGAGTCGATGCAAGGGTTTCCTTTTTCCCAAGGGGTTCCCATAGTGTAAGCTAAACTTACGCAATATGAAAGAACCTCTCGTAAGAGAACTTACTCGGTTACCTAATGTAACCTCGGTTCTCTCTTGAGAAGGAATGAGTATTGCGTAACCACCCGTGCTCGCGCCACGAGCAATTTTCGCTTCAGGTGATGAAACCTGGGAAGCAGCCTCCAAGCCGTGCTTTTATACACTAAGCCACACCCACTTGAGCGAGCTGTGACGTGCAGTGGGCACGAGGCAGCATCATTGGGCGCAACGTCACACCAGGCTCAGTGGTAGGCGGCTGCAGTTGCTGCAGAGCAGCCAATGAGCACACTAGACGGCCTGATCTAGGTCTGCTAGCTGCTGCACTGCGTTGACAAAGAATACAAAATTAAGGATAATTTTTGGCTTCAATATCTCGAGAAAAGATGACTTTACCCATAGTGTAAGCTAAACTTGCGCAATACTCGTTGCCTCTCTAGAGAGAACCGAGGTCACATTAGGTAACCGAGTATGTTTTCGCTGATATTTTCACTTTGCATTCTAAACACACACAGCCTGACCTTGAACACACAATCACTTTCATAAAATACTATATGCAGAGGAAAGGGTGAGGATTGACACGTTGACAAATCCATATCAGCTTAAGATGACCAAACAGCTTTTGGAACCGGACAGGTGTTTTTTTGCTGGTCCGAAGTGGTCTACCAGTTTGAAATCAGCTCCATCTGCTTCTAGTCCACCTGACTTACCACATAAATCAGCTTGGACCAATTTGAAGCCATGTAAACTAGCAACCACCTGTTTTAGCTGGATTTTTCTAGTCTCGAAATAAGAATTATTTGGATTACAAACATTGCGTTTCATTGACTTTCCATACTGATTTTTATACTGTACAAACAACAGTCTTGCTACTGTCTAAACCTACCCATCACAGAAAACGAATCGGTTACCTAACGTAACCTCGGTTTTCTCTAGATGAGGGAATGAGTATAAGCTAGCTTACGCTATGGGAAAGATTAATCTTTTCTGAGAAGTTGAAGCCAAAAAATTATCCTTTAATTGTTAATCCATTGTCAACGCAGTTCATCTGCAGCAGACCATGAGCGGGCTAGCGAGCGGGCAGCTCATTGGTTCGCTCAGGGAGAACTGCTACAGCCTATGAGGGAACTCGGTTGAACTCGCGGCCAATGAGAAGCTGACACGCTCTCATTGCGTTAAAGCCCGCCAAAACGGCATGGCCCGAGTCTATAAATAGGCGAGTTTCCCGCTGTTTTCCGGTTTTCATTGAATGAAGCGAGAACACTAGTAGCGCAAGCACGGCTGGGAACGCAATATTCGTTCCCTCATCTAGAGAGAACCGAGGTTACGTTAGGTAACCGATTCGTTCTCTTATGAGAGGTTCTCTCGTATTGGGTAAGCTAGCTTACGCTACGGGAACACATGGTCAACGCCGTGCGCGCTAATCATCCACAATGAGTCCCGGGGGAGGGATCCCAGCCCGGAGGACCCTTATAAGTGGGAATTAATAATGTACGTGAACATGAAAGGGCCAGCAAGCGGGCTGGGATTG